TGGGGGAGGAGTATCTATACCCCTCTAAGTAACCTTTCACCTGTGCCTTGTAAGGAAACCCAACGAACTCATACTGGTTCCCCAGAGTGAAGTTTGGTGAAATGTGCCTTGGTTTGCCATTGGAACCTTAGGAGACTGAGTAGACACTGCTTGCATCTTCCCTTTGGAAAGAATTTTAGTAGTAAGAGGGAAAGAGAGGAGAAGGAAAAAGTGGATAGAGGAAAGGCCATGTGACCATAGAAGCAGAAATTGGAGTGATGCAGCCATAAGCCAAGAAATACCTGGAGCCACCAGAAATTGGTTTAGTTTTTTTCCCTTTTCCTTTTTTTTTTTTTGGACAGGGTCTCTCTATGTAGCCTTGGCTGTCCTGGAGCTCACTATAAAGACCAGGCTAGCCTCCAAATCACAGAGATCCTCCTGCCTCTGTCTCCTGAGTGCCTGCTCCTGGGATTTAAGGGCTGTGCCACCAATCATTAGAAATTGGAATTGGTATGAAAACATCCTTTCCTCCAGCCTCCATGGGGTACAGGATCCTACAATACCTTGATTTTTGAACTACTGGCTTTCAGAATTATGGAATAAATTGCTGTTGTTCTAAGTCACCATTCACAGGAAACTAAAATGCCTTAGAAACCCACCTCTGCCCTGATTGGCCTTTGCTTCCATCTCACCTTGGAGAGACTCCTGACAGCTCTATGGTGCCAATCTGGATTGCCAGCCCTCCTTATTCATTGGTCCCTTCCTAGTTGGACTCATCCTGTGGTAAACCCCTTGCAAACTCTATATAGACAATACAGATCATTTATTCTTCAGGACAACCTTAGACACAGACACCCCATTTTACATAGCATGATAGGCTAGAGAGATGAAGTAATGGTTTCTCAGCAAAAGAAGGGAAGGACGGGAGTTAAAGAGGCTGGCTCTAGAACATGAAGTCTCCTATCTCACCTGACCGGTCCTCCCTGCACTGTGTCTCCCACAGCTCTTCGGGTGCCTAAATTTGGTCCTTTTTTATGGACCTGGCGTGACCTAGGGAAGAATTTACTCTGCTCTTCAACCTCTTCCAAGGAGATTCTGCATATTGCATAATCATGTTATTACTTGTAATAAGATGGGATGAGGAAACCGGAGCATTGGCCATGCAGTGGCAGACACAAGAAAACCTATTTCAAAAGAAGGTGGAAAGAGCCAGGCGATGGTGGTTCACACCTTTAATCCCAAGCACTTGGGAGGCAGAGGCAGGTGGATCTCTGTGAGTTTGAGGCTAGCCTGGTCTACAGAGTGAGTTCCAGGACAGCCAGGGCTGTTACACAGAGAAACCCTGTCTTGAAAAATTAAAGGAAAAAAGAAATAAAAAGGTGGAAAGAGACAACTCGCCCAAAATTGTCCTCTAATCTCCACATGTATGCTGTTGAATATGTATCCCTCCCCACAACAATAAATCCATCTTAAGGACACACAAGCAAGCAAAATGGGGTTGGTGAGATGGTTCAGCATACACCCACATAAGAGATTAGTAGATGTAAAAAAAAAAAAAAAAAAACAAACAGAATGAACCAATGACAGGCATCTCTGTTGCTCCCTGAGCTCCTGCAGCATCGGTCTGTCTCCCCCTCTGTAGACTCCATGGCAGACAAGCTGACTATTCCCACTGCTCTGGGCCTTTGTTCTTGCAACCAAGCAGCATGTCCAACCATGGCTGGACGTGGGAGGCATATTTGTTTTTTTTTTTTTTAAAATTACATTTTTTCATTTACATACTGCAATTTCCCCTCCCTCCTCTCCACCCATTCCCTCCTCCCGCCTCCCATCTACCCTCCCACCCCCCCACCCATCCACTTCTCCATTTTTGTTCAGAAAGGGGCTGGCCTCCTATGGCATTAACAAAGCATGGCACACCAAGTTGAGGCAGGACCAAGCTCCTCCCCCTGCATCAAGGCTGGGTGAAGCAATCCAGCAGGGGAAAGTCTCCTAAAAGGCAGCTCAAATGCCAGGGAGGCATACTTGTTACAGGAAAAGCACTTCAAAGCAGAGAATTGTGGAATTCTGTCCTCTGGGCAGAACATGGCCATTGCCCTCAAACTGTCCACAGCTATGGTTACCAGGATACTCTTTCTGCTAAGGAAGGGTGGAGGGGGGGTGCTTTATGAGGCCACTCTCCTCCCAGAGGATTTACAGACGATAACAGGTTGCTTGCGTCGGAGAGAGAGATTTTCTTCAGCAAGGGAGCCACACATAATTTGCCCATGCTTCCATTCAACTCATGGCTTTATCAAGTTTCTACTTTCTCCTTTTGTGGAATCCTTTGTTTTGGCTGGTGGCACCCTGTCTTAGTTAGGTTTTTATTGCTGTGAAGAGACACCATGACCATGGCAACTCTTACAAAGAAAATATTTAATTGAGGTGTCTCACAGTTTCAGAGGTTCAGTCCATTGTCATCATGATGGGGAGCATGGTGGCATGCAGGCAGATGTGGTGCTAGAGCTGAGAGTCCTGCATCTTGCAGGCAACAGCAAGTCGACTGACTCACTGGGCAGTATCCTGAGCATAGGAATAATAACATAGACTGGAAATATTTTACTGTCTGTCTTTTTTTTTCTTTGTTGTTTTGTTTGTTTTGGTTTCTGAGACAGGGTCTCACTATGTAGCCCTGCCTGGCCTGGAATTCACCATGAGGCTAGCCTCAATCTCAACAAAGAACTTCTGGCCTCTGCCTCTGGAGTGCTGGGATTAAAGGCCTTGAGCCACCATATCCTCTGGAAGAGCAGCCAGTGCTTTTAACCACTGGGACATCTCTTTAGGACCAGCATTCACCATTCTGGTATAGACAGGTGTGATAGTTCTTACCTGTAATACCAGCACCTGGGAAGTGGAGGCAGGAGAATCAGAAATTCAGTTATCCTTGGTTACACAGTGAGTTCCAGGTCAGCCTGAACTATATGAGATCTTGTCTCAAAATAACAAATGTGAAGGCAGAAATCACAGGACGGGGAGGGGGCATTATGAGAATTGACAAAAGGCAGTTGGCCCGGCCAGGCCATTTTATCCAAGACCAGGAGAATAAATAGGGTTCATGCAACCTAGGGGGCTTTTGTTCTTCTTCACACTGGCTGCACTTAGTTATCAAGGGAACTTTGATAGTCAGTGGTCGGTTCCACTTCTAGAGATCAGATTTCACCAGCGTGGAGGGCCTGCTCACTGGGGTATCTTAGTACTTTCCAGGAGTCTTCTAATGTTTGCCCAAGCCTGGCAGTCACCATCTCCTTGAAAACGCACGTTAATGATCCATTTATGGGTTGGCAGGGGATCGCCTGACCCTGTTACCAAGACATACAGCCCCTCCTCCCTCAATTAGCATACGGGAGGGATTCCACAGGACTACATTTCCCACCAGGCATTGCGGTCTCCGCCCCCCCCCCCCCCCCCAGGTCCCAAGCCCTGAGGCCCTATGCGATCTGGTGCTGGCAGCTGCTAATGAGTATGTGGCGTTCTGTCCAGTCCTGCTGCTCTGGTCTTCAAAACGGAAACCTTCGGGCCCTTAATGGGGCCGCCATCTCCTCCGTAAGCGTGGTATTAGGATGGAGGCGCGAAACAGCACACTTGCAGCCCGAACCTTTTGCTCCAGGTCTTGTCTCGCGTTTGCACTCTGGACATTCAATTCTGTACAGATCTGCTGGCTTCCTGGACCCTACAGTGGCTGGGAGATGGAAACTCATGAAGGGAGGTGCTGGGCCTATTACTGATGTGGCCGTCTAGGGCCCTTGAGAGCCGAGTACCTACTTCCTGGTGGCCAAAGCCTGGGAACAGCCCCGTCCCCCTCCCCGCGCGCCATTGCTTCACATCCCACCACCTGGCCTTTGCATTTGCTGTTTCCCTTTCCAGTTGCCTTAAGACATTTTCTGTCTGCTTCAGACTCAGCTCATCTCAAAGAGGCTGGAGGAACCCATTATTACCCTTCCTGCAAGCTCTAGTGCTGCTCTCAGATGTCCTTCAAGTAATTAATTTTCTCTTCTAAATGTTCTTTGTTTCTTGCCTGCACTTCACTGTAAGGGCAGTCTGACACTGTAGTTCCAAGTGCCCACGGAGAGACCATGAAGAGACACACACAGGTGCAGAAGGCACTCACGCCTGCACAAAAAGGACACTTACGTCCTGTGGTGTCCTACATCGTCCTTCTCACTGCGTGTATACTACAGGACAGACAACCTAAGTTTGAGCTTGGGACTGTCAGTTGGGGTAAGGTTGACCTGTGACCCGAAGAGATGAGGCTGCCTCGGACTAGGCACTTTTGTGTTAATCATCAGTCGTCTGTGATGCTCCTGCTTTACCCTGACAGAACCGTGGGTAGGCTAGTAGACACTGTTCATGTGCTGGTCTTGGTAGCGTTTCCCTTGTTACTTGTCTGCAGCCCGCTTAAACCTTGTGAGGACAGCAGCCGACGGCGCCCCCTAGTGTTATAATCCTTGCAAAGACCTTGAGTAGCCCCAGCCTCGGCCTTTTTAGTGTTAGAGCTCTTGTGTGGGCCTAGATGTCTGTTTCCTCCGATCTCGGTGGCAGTTGGTATGGGGATTTCTTAACCCTCCACAGCTGCCTGCGTTACAGCTCTTGGCCCTGGGTCTGAGAGCCTTGGATCTAAAGACCTGAAAGCTCTGTGTTCTAGAGATCAGAGCCCAGTGGGTGCCAGCCTGTCTGGCCTGAGCTGTCTTTCAGTATCACAGACTACCTTGTGAAGAGAAGGCCTGTATGTGTGAACTTTGTATTCATGCATTGTTTCCACCCCAGGACACAGCCATACCACATACACAGGGGCCTGTAATCCTGCAAACTGGGGGTGGGTTCTCAGTCCTACCTAAATACTCTGCATCTAACCCTTCTGTGGAGTAGCCCTGTGTATGGGCCTGCAGTGTGACCTTTGCCTGGAGAACTCCCTCCACTGGCCACATAGAAGCAAATGCAGACATTGGAGCAGCCCAACCTGTATGCAATCTCTACCCATGTGGTAGGACTTGCAGCATTTTTATTGAAATTCTCCAGTTTGCAGCTCTCCTGGTGGTCTCTGTTCTTGTATGTGATAGTCCATCAGATGAGGCGTAAGAGGAGACATGGGAGGCTCCGGGAAACAAAATGAATTATGCTAATGGTCTAGATACAGTAGCTCATGTAGATCCAAGACTGAGGATCTTCTGAAGTCACCCATGTTAGTCAGGAGACACAAGAGCCAGGGGATCGTCTTTCTGAGGGAAACGAAGGCAGGCAGAGTAAACAGGTTATGCTTTTAGGACTAGCAGAGTGCTGGCATCCCTAAGTCTATGGCACCCAAGGCAAGGAAGACTCAGTATAGCCTTCTGTTTTGACTACTGCAGCTGGGCTTATGTGGGAAGAGAGGCTTTTCCACAAATGTCTTTATGAAGAAAACATGGGTGGAGGACAGTAACTACCCAAGGGAGGTACTGGTCACACTCATCCTGGAGACACTGGAAAGGGTTTGAGCATCTTGTGCACTGTGTCCACAGCATGAGCTATTCTGTGTCCTTGGGAGCGCTGGCCTGTGCATTCTGTAAGAAGTGCAAGTACAATGACATGGTCAGAGGTTTAAGACAGTTATGAATGGGGCACCACAGCAGCAAGGGAGTGTCAGGCAAGATGAAGTCAGTTCAAAATGGCTGGGGAAGCTTCTCAAGGACATCTGAGATATCACAGAGGAGGGCATGAGGGTTCCAGGGACAGGTAGAAAGGCACACAGGTGGGAGAAAGTATGGCTGGCATGTGGGAGGTGAGGCTACAGGAGTGGAAGAGGCAAGAGGAGGCCAGCTTTGGAGCAAACAGACAACAGGCAAGGGCTGTAGTTTGCCCAACAGGCAGACCAGTACTTTGAGACCACTTTTACATCACCGTGCGACAAAGACAAACATTCATATACGCATTTGAGGATCATCAGAGCAATTGCTTGGGCCAAAGTGACACATATCCTGGCGTATTTGTACCTCCCTCAACAAGGTTTACTGAAAAGGTGACTCACTGGACAACTTCCTGCCATGGAATGACACAACATGATTTGGGTAGCAGCTTGCAGCAGGAAGAAAGTGGGTGGGGATGGAATGAAGGCAGGAAGGGCTGAGAAAGGACCCTGATAAAAATCCAGTGGGAGGCAATCAGCGCTCACAGACAGTGATGCTGGAGGAGGGGTTGGATTAGAGATGAACCTGAGGTGAATCCACAGGGCTGGAGTCTAGGAGATGCGAAAGGAAGATGTGGGAGGAAAAGACAGAGATTGGGCAAGTGTCAAGTACTGTTGTGGATGAAAACAGGGAAACACGATCAGGATGGCATGGAGAGGGCTTCACGGGAGGGCAGCCTCTCGTGTCTGTCTTGGAGTTAGGCATACATTAATGTGGTGGGGAAGCAGGTAGGAAGGCACAGAGTGGGCCTGGAAGATGTCCTTTCCAAGCTGAACAGTACAGGAACTGGCAAGAACAGTAGCCATGTGAGAACATGAAGCTTGAGTCTTCCTACCCAGAGGATCTTGGGTCACCTGAGCCCAGACAGACACCAGCTTTACTTGTTCTGGTTCCAAGAACCCATGCAGATTCTTAGCTCAGGTGTCTCTTCTCTGGGACCAGCCTGAGTGGGATAGAAAGGGCAATCTAGAAGCTTCCTCAATTGGTCTGAATCTCTGTGCTCATTAGGGGACTTCACCTGGGCTCTCAAATGTAGAGGTGTTCCCAGATGGCCCCAGTCTGCCCTTAGACACTGGGTGACACAGTTACCAACCAGTGGGGATCCTGGCTCCTGTGGAATTCAGGGTTTCTTAGATGTCAAGCCTCTGAGGGAGGCTGTGCTGTGGTTTTTCCAGTCACTGAAGCACAGTGATATGGATCTTGAGGTGTACCATGAGCGCCGAGCTGCGGCTGAAAGCTTTCCCACAGTCACTGCATTTGTAAGGCTTCTCTCCCGTGTGAGTACGCTGGTGCTCAATGAGGGATGAGCTTTGTGCGAAGGCCTTTGGGCAATCCTTACACTGATAGGGCTTCTCTCCGGAGTGGATTCTCAGGTGCCGGACCAGAGCTGAACAGTCACTGAAGGCTCTCCCACACACAGCACACCTGTAGGGCTTCTCCCCAGTGTGGATGCGCTGGTGCTGTGTCAGGTGGGTGCTCTGGCTGAAGGCTTTGCCGCACATATCACACTCGTAGGGCCGCTCCCCCGTGTGCACCCGTTGATGTTGCGTGAGGTGGGTGCTGCGGCTGAAGGTTTTGCCACACTCCTCACACTTGAAGGGCTTCTCCCCAGTGTGGATGCGCTGGTGCTGTGTCAGGTGGGTGACTCGTCTGAAGGCTTTCCCACACTCGTTACATGCATGAGGCTTTGCTCCTGTGTGGACAACCTGGTGTTGGGCAAGGTGGGTGCTCCGGCTGAAGGCCTTCCCACACTCAATACAGGCATAGGGCATCTTCTGAGAGTGGCTCTTCTGGTGGGCCTCCAGGGCTGAAGTATTCTGGAATGTTCTCACACATTCTCCGAACTTGGAGGGCTTCTTTCCTAAGTATGTATCTGGAGCTACTGTCCCGTAACCATACAATGGGCCAAATTTCTCCTCTGAAGGAGACTTGTCTTGGGAAGGGAAGGTGGGCCACATGTTGGAACTGTTTCCTGAGGCATCAGACTCATGGCCCGGCTGGTCTTTGGGGGCATCTGTGTGAGGCTCCAGGTCTTTCCTGAAATCCATCTCTTGGGCAGCAGACTTCATCCAGAGTGTTCCTAGGAGCTCTGACTGGCTCTCAGAGCTGCTCTCGGGCTTACAAGTGTGGGCAAAGGTGGATTTTGGGGAAAGACCTCTTATTAGTGTTTCAGTGGCCATGCCTGGTGGTTGTAACTCATCTGTACTGCTCTGTTTGCAACTTGCCTCTTCATGTTCCACTCCTGGCTCCCATCCTGGAATCATTCAAATCATACTGTTACTTCCCCACCACAGATCATCACACAAGCCTCTCCATCCTTTTGAGGACCGGCTCACTCATTCTGAGAGGGGGCATGTGGCCCACTCTTGTCATATGTCTTCATTTCCAAAGAGAAGTGTGGTGATAGACTGTGTACCCTAATAAAATCTGCCTGAAGATCAGAGAACAGAACAAGCCACTAGATTAAACATGGATGCCAGACAGTGGTGGCCCACACTTTTAATCCTAGCACTCGGGAGGCAGAGATGTCTGGATCTCTGTGAGTTCAAAGCCACCCTGGACTACATGAGATTGACTCAGTCTAGGAAAGAAATAGAGCCAGGCAGTGGTGGCACACGCCTGTAATCCCGATACTTGGGAATCACATGCCTTTAATCCCAGCACTTGAGATCTCATGCCTTTGCTTGGGAAGCACACACGCCTTCAATCCCAGGAAGTGATGGCTGGGCAGAGAAAGGTATATAAGGCATGAGGAGACAGGAACCAGAAGTTTTTTTCAGGCTGAGAAGTTGGTGAGGTAAAAGGTGGTGGCTGTAGCTTGTTCTTTTGATTCTCTGATCTTTCATCATTTACCCCAATAATCTGGTACCCGTTTTTTTATTAAAAGACCTATTAGATTTCATGTTACAGGGAAATTTCCCCTTCGGTGTCTTGGGTAAGAAAAAGGACTCAGGGCTGTACTCTTATACTACCCTAAACTGCACCAAGGTTCTGAGTTTCCCCACCCAATCAAGCCATCCATCTTGTCAAGGCTCCTGATCTGGCTAAAATGCCAAAAGGAAAACTTTCATGTGGACAAGATCTGAAAGAAACAAGAGTGGAGGGAGCCAGGCCTTGTCAGGTACCTGTGCATCTCCTCCCGGCAATCTTGGGCAGTGCCAAGTTCTGTGAGTCCAGGCTCTGTTCCTTAAAGCCAACAGCTGTCTTTGGGAATAGCGGCTAAATGAGAATCAATCCAGATGCCCGTGATATCATTTCTCACAGCAGGACTCTAGGTAGACATCTGCTGCTATGGTTAGTGGGTGATCTGCTTCTGAAACTCCCAGATCTGAGTAAGTAGGAGGTAGAGGCACACCTGCACTGCCCTGCCCTTCATGGGTGCAAAGGGTATCTGAGGATACTTCATCTGGCAACATTTACAGATGAATCCTAGGGATGAGTCAGAGAAGGATGCAGTAGATGTTGTTCTAGTCTACACTTGGGCTGAGTAGACTCAGGAACAGGGCTCTAACCCCAGACTTTGAGCCGCCAAGTTGTCAATCCTTAAGCTTTATCACTGCCATCATCTGGACCTAGTTTGTGATACTGCTGCTTTGCCAGGGCTGCTGGCTTATAAAGGTTTTGTTATGTGCTAGACTCCAAGTGCATTGTGTAACTTCCAACTGCTTCATTTCCTTTTCAGAAGGAGGTACTTAGGGGTTCCACTGTAGATGAGGAGACTGAGGCCCAGCAGAGGTACTGAGTTCCAGGTACAGGATCACAGGATTATGCATGGTCAAGCATGCCTTTAGTCCCAGCACTTGGGAGACAGAGCCAGGAGGATCTCTGAGTTCAAGGCCAGCTGGTCTATACAGCTTGTTCTAAGCCATAGTACGATATAGTAGTTCCAAGCCAAGAGCTACATAGTAAGACCCAGTCTCAATAAATGAATAAGTGGATAAAATCATAGGATTAGTAGAGATTCTGAGGGACTTGTACTGGATCATTCAGCTTGCAGCCAGATTGGGACTTGCTCTAGAAGCTCCTGGACTAGAATGTACAGTGCTTGGGTCCCTGCATCCAACCAGATTTCTCTGGGCAGGGCATATAGGTGTGGGTCTCCTTGAATGGCAAGTACCCACTCTAGTTCGGAGCCATTTAACCACCCCCAGATCCTGTAGGCTAGCACAGGGAAGGCTACAAGAGGACACACAGGGGTACTTATTTCTTTCCCCCTCCCCCTCACTCAAGGCATCCAGTCATTTCATCTGGGCCAGTAGCTATACTTCCTTCCGGGAGGTGCCCCAGGCTCACTATTAGCTCCTGGGATTTGACTGTCCAAAGGCAAACACAGGAGCTGACTGGTTCAGTGAAGCTCACACTAGACACTGCTTGCTGTTTTTTCCCTGCCCACTTGGGTAATGAACAAGTCAGGGGCCCATGGGCTACCTTTGTTCTCCTTGGGGAGATGCTAATAAGGCAGGGATGTGGCTCAGCTGGCAGAGTGCTTACCTACATGCGTGGACGCCCTGGGTTTGATCCCCAGTACCATCTAAAGCTGGGTGTGGTGGCACAAGCCTGTAATCCCAGCATCTGGGAGGTGGAGGCAGGAGGATCAGGAGTTCAAGGTCATGCTCAGCTATGTAGCAAATCTGAAGTTAGCTTTGGTACAAGAGACCTTGTCTTTAGAAAGATAAAATAAAATAAAGCTAATGTAGAAAAACCCAGACCGAATGGAGATATAGAATGTGAGAGTGGGCGAGAGCAAGCAGCGTGAGCGTCAAGTGCTCCCTGAGTGCATCTTCTGGATACCGCGATACCTAAGCCCTTTCCCCTTAATTGCTTGGGATTTGGTCACTTGTAACCATGGCGAAGGTACCAATGTGAGAAGGAGCACCTGAGCGAGCAATCCCTAAGTAGAGCTTGACCTCCTGTATTCTAGGCAGGCTGTGCCAGAGCTCTCTGTGACCGACTACCTGCCTGCTGCTCCTCCTTACCTCTCTTGTCCAGCAGTTGAGTCAGATCCTCCACCAGTACGGCAGCCTCTTTTCCACTCCTCGGGCACTGAGCCCCCACCCAGGCCTGGATCTCAGGGGGCAGTGCACCCAGGAACTGCTCCAGCACCAGCAACTCCAGCATCTGTTCTTTGGAGGACGACTCTGGCCTCAGCCACTGGCAACATAACTCTCGAAGTTGCGCCAGTGCCTGATGGGGGCTGGATGCCTCCTCATAGCGGAAGTGCCGGAAGCGGAGGCGGGCGGCCTCAGGATGGGCAGTAGGGCTAGCGGGGGATCCCTGGCTCTGGGAGAGGCCAGCTTCTTCCTCCTCTTTCACCTTCACCTGAAGGAAGCTGTCCTGTTCCCAGAGAACTGGGCTCAGAGGGCACTTGGGGATGGCCATTGGGCAGATGAACTCAGTGAGACACGGGATGGCTAGAGCCTCAGAATTGGGTCTGCAGAAATGTTAGAGCTTCACCATCTGAAAAGAGGGAGGGGAGGTGCAGGTTTGAGGTAGCCAGACTGGCCTCCAATTCACCATCCTCCTGCCTCATCCTCCTCAGTGCATGCACTACCATGCCTGACTACTTTGCTTTTTTTTTTTTAATTTTGATTTTATGTGCATTGGTGTTTTTGCTTACATGTGTGTCTGTGTGAAGGTGTCAAACTCCTGGAGTTGCAATTACAGACAGTGGTGAGCTACCATGTGGGTGCTGGGAATTGAACCCAGGTCCTCTGAAGAGCAGCCAGGACTTTTAACCACTGGGCCGTCTCTCTAGCCCCCTTCCTTGTTTCCTTTTTAAATGTATTTATTTGGGCCGGTGAAATGGATTATCAGGTAAAGGTGCTTCCCACCAAGCCACTCATTCTCACACAGAAAAAGATGAGTGTAATGACCATGGCAGTGCCCACTCAAGAGCAGAGAATGACGTTCAGTGGTTCCATGCATTCAAAATACACAGGGGCCGGAGAGATGGCTGAGAGGTTAAGAGCACCGGCTGCTCTTCCAGAGGTCCTGAGTTCAATTCCCAGCACCCACATGGTGGCTCACTTATCTAAAATGGGATCTGGTGCCCTCTTCTGGTATTCAGGCACACATGCAGGTAGAGCACTCATACCAAAAACCAAATCAAACCAACCAACCAACGAAAAACAAAAAATCAAAAAACAAAATATAAACAGGGAGGAACTCACTAAGCGCCAGCAGAGAGTTTCAAACCTATGGTCACAGATGGTCCTGGTGAAATTCAGTAGGTCTCAAAAACAAAACAGTCATGATGTGGGAAGATCTGTAAGGAGGAGGAGGCTAACAGGGATAGGAGTAAGATGGGGGGGGCGGTTATAGTAATGATAATGCATGTCAACATGTATGAAATTATCAAATAACAGATTCAATAAAGTTAAAAAAGGAGGGGGGCAGGCAATGGGATGGCTCCACAGGTAAAGGTGCAGGAACCACATCGATGGAAGGAGAGAACTGACTCTTGCACATTGTCATTTGCTCTCCACTTGGGTGCCACATGTTAAAAAAAAAATCTACTTAGGGGCTGGAGAGATGGCTCAGCAGTAAAGAGCATTGAATGCTCTTTCAGAAGACTTGGGTTCCATTCCTAGCACCCACATAGTGGCTCACAACTATCTGTAATTCCAATCTCAGGTCATCTGACATCCTCTTCTGGTTTCCACCAGGCATGCATCTGGTACAGAGACATACATGTAGGTCAAACACTCATACACATGAAAACATAATTATAAAACGAAAGAATAAAGTAACTTCAACAGGGCTAAGGAGATGGTTCAGTCGGGTCAAGTGCTTGCATAGTAAGCGTGACCTGAGTTTGGATCCCCGGGGCTCACAAGCCCAGCACGGCTGTGCAGGTCCACAACCTCAGCACAGAGGAAAGCAGAGATAAGCGGATCCCCAGGGCTCACTGGCCAGCTCAATTAATACATATTTTTTTTTTTTGTCTTTCGAGACAGGGTTTCTCTGTGTAGCTTTGCGCCTTTCCTGGAACTCACTTGGTAGTCCAGGCTGGCCTCGAACTCACAGAGATCCGCCTGGCTCTGCCTCCCGAGTGCTGGGATTAAAGGCGTGCGGCACCATCGCCCGGCCAATTAATACATATTTTAGGATGGAATAAAAGCAGCTCAAGTATTTGGTGTCCGTGGTGTATACCCAGAGCTTGGGAGGCAGGAGGAACATTTTAGTCAGCACCTCAGACAGACACAGAGGATTTCACTCACACTTGAACTCAGTCACAAACTCACCGGCTCTGTCTCACAACCCACCTACAAAGTCCATCAAAGAACTATTTCTTTCAGTCGCTTCACTCGACGTGATATACAAGGCCAAGATGCATGCATCAGACACAGCACAACCTGTCGGGCACATACAACCGGTCGGTCAGTCCCACTTTTTGTTTGTCAGTCTTACACTCGTCAGCCGTCCCACACTTCAGTCAGTCCGTCCCACACTCTGTCTATCCTTACTCACAGGCCGTCAGCTTCGGCGTGGGCGTTCGCAGCTCTCAGCCCTCGGAGCCAGGGCTCCGGCTCTCACCGGGTCTCCAGAACTCCCAGCAGACAATTCCGGAGGCGCCCTGATGACGAACACACAGGCGCCTTCCTGACCAGAGACCACAACTCCCAACATGCCTAGCGCAGGCGCATGGCCACAGGGTGCGGCACCGGGACTACAAGTCCCAGAAAGCACAGCGCCAAGTCCCTGGCCCAACTGGGAGTTGTAGGCCTGCGTGCCTGATGCGGGATCTGGGGTACCGAACCCAGGCTGGTGTTTGTTGGGACAGAGGTGGCTGAGTGGGAAGCGCGGGAAGTTGGAGCATGCACGGTGCAGGCGAATGAGGGCCATCCTCTGATGGCTCACAACCATCTAACTGCAGTTCCAGGAGTTTTAGTGCCCTCTTTAGGCTTTCGCAGGCACCTAGCACACAAGTGCTGCGCAGATATACAAGCAGGCAAAACATCCATATACATAATTTAAAAGAAAATCACATTTATTTAGTGCGTGTGTGTGCGTGCGTGCGTGCGTGGGTGGTGGTGGTGGTGGTGGTGGTGATGGTGTATGTGCTATGATGCGAGTGAAGAGGTTAGGAAACAGCCTGTGGAAGTCAGTTCTCTCCTTTTACGACGTGAGTTCTGGGGATCAAACTCAGTCTTGGCAGCAACTACTTTTACCCAGTTAGCCGTCTTGTCAGCCATAGTTGGCTTATTTTTTGGTGCTGGGGAATCCAGAGATTTACTCACATTAAGCACAACCCTAAGCCCTAAGCTATAACCCTTCTCAGCCTTTGTCATTTTATTTGAATTTAACCAATCTTAGCCAACCAGTACTAACCATGTGAGACAGACAGCTCAGGGCTAGGACATTTCAGAACCACGGACAGCTCCCGGCTCTAGGTAAGGTGCTTGTCTCAGAGGCGATTACTGTTGGGATTTGCTGACTATCTTTGAGCCCCATTCAAAGTAAACAGTGTGCCGTGTAACAATGTGTGTAACGGTCTCAGCTCCATGCTGCCAAATTTCAAAAACAGCAATAACAAGTTGCCTGTATGCGGACTGTGCAAGCAACAGAAAGATACAAACAAAGCACTGAGTTCTCTAAGGAGAAAATCGCTAGAACAGCATTTCAAAACTCAGTTCCTCACAGAGATTCTCAGAAAGTAAAGAATCCCATTGATACACCAATAGAGGCAAGGGTATTGAGCAGACTCCCAGGGCATGGACTTGCCCTGTGCCCACCCCTCTTTCAGATATCCTAACAGATACAGGATCAAACCAACTTTGACCTCTGCTGAGATCATCACTACTCAACTTAGGATCTGTTTCCTATCTGGAAAAGGGAGTAACAATACGGAAGACTGCTTGATCAGGCATTTGATAAATATGGGCTGGGCACCACACCATGAAACTCAGTCTAAGATGAACAAGAACAAGTATTTTCTAATAATGTATGCAATGTGTATAAAGTAGGTGGGTGTACTGAAGGGACCTGCATACTGCAGGGTGCTCCCCTCTCGACCCTGGATTGAGCACATACCACAACTAAACACCAATCTCCAAGCACGAACCAAATGCAGAGATCCATTATTCAGCAAGGCAGAGACAAGGTGGCAGAACATGAATTGGGCTGAAACAGCAGAAAATAGCTTTTAAGAGGGAATGAGCTAGGACATGTTGGTTAGTTCTGACTGGGCATTTTAATTAGGCTACTCAAAATAATGAATTTTGATTGCTGAACCTTGATGCTTTATTGGACCTTGGTGATCAGTCTCAGAAATGTATCAGGAATAACAAAGTGACCAAATAAGGGAACAGACCTTGGTGGCTAGCTTTCGGAATGTAATCTAATGGCTTGGCGAGGGAGAGAAGGGTAAAGGACAAAACATGATGGTGCCAGGTTTGCCATGCTTGGGCCTGTGTTTGCCATGCTCGGGTCTGTCAGAACCCTTCATGTACCACCTATTTTTTGGATGGGGGAGGGGAGAACTCTGAGGTTGAAAAATGAGTTTATAGCTCAAAGAATGGCTAGCAGAGGTCAGTAAGCATGAAAGTGGGTGAGCCTAGAATGTATGGGAAGGAATATAGGTTTGTTCCAAATCAGGGGATCTATGAATTCTGGCCTAGCTAAGAATGCCCACTATTACTTTTTATTTTTATTTTTTGAGATAAAGTCTATGTAGCCCTGGCTAACCTGGAACTCAATATGTAGAGCAAGCTTGATCTCACAAAGACTCACCTGCCTCTGGGATTAAAGGCACATGCCATGTCTTAATATACATGCATTTGTAAAGAGGCTGCCCACAAGCTGAGTGATGATGCACACCTGTAATGTTCGAAGGTAGAGGCAGGGGGATCATTGCCAGTTCAAGATCTATCTGGAGTACTTGGCTGTTGGCCATAACATGTTGGGGCTCTCATAAACTTGTGTTGGGTTGACTAATACAGGGAAAGGACAAGGGAACTAGGAAGTTTATACGTGCATTGCATTCTAGCCTCTTCACCTTTAGAGTTGAAGCTGTTTTACATGCAACTCATTTTGCTAAATGAACACACATTTAGGTGTATACAGAACAGCTATGACAAAGACACACTGGGCTTCCTACTCATATGGAAATTCTGGCAGGGTGAGGCAGACAATAAACAATGAAATAAAATTTAAAACTTACTTTAATAAAAAAGAATTGAGGTTTCCATTAAACTTACTTTTTTAAACTGGTAATACTTTTACATATTTCAAAATTCCAAAAAAATATAAAAGATAGGGTGAAAATTATTTCTCACCTCAGCTTCCCCCAATTCCTCCCCAAGGGCAGACGGTACATCTACTTACTTTTCACCCTTTCAGAGATTCTGTGCATGAGTATACATAAGCAAATGCTTCCTGTCTACACATGAAAAATACTATAAGGTTTTACGTCTTGTTTGTTTCCCTTAAGGTGTCATATAGACTTCTCCCTCATTAATAAGGGCAGTCTCCACTAGGGCTGTGATCTCTGTCACAAACCATGGTAGACTTGTTTTGAAATTCTTATTTTAAAAAATCCTTGTACAAATTATCTGCATGTGTACAAATAAATCCTGTAGGATTCATTCCCAGCAGGTTTGCTGAGAAAACATTCATATGATTTAGTAACTGACAAACTGCCCTCCACAGATGTGATACCCATTCATACTCCTACAGGAAATGTATAGGAAACACCCAGGCCCCTTTGAGAAAAGGTTGGTAAAATAACTAGATGGAGGGCACAATCCTCCAGCAATAACGCTACAAGAAGTTCATTAGGGAAAATGCTCAAAATATAGGAAAAAGCATGTTAAAAGAGAAAGAGGGTTTTCACATTCTAAACCTTTAAATGAGAACTGTACACACACACACACACCACATCTATGTTGAAGATTCAAAGTACACTGTGTACATATGTGTGCATACACATTTAAGACAAAACTTGTACTGGCAGTGGTGATGTATGCCTTTAATCCCAGCACTCAAGAGGCAGAGGCAGGCAGGATCTCTAAGTTTGAAGCCAGCCTGGTCTACAGAGCAAGTTTCAAGACAGCCAGGGCTACACAGAGAAACTCTGTCTCAAAAACCAAAACCCGCCGGGCGGTGGTGGCGCACGCCTTTAATCCCAGCACTCGGGAGGCAGAGCCAGGCGGATCTCTGTGAGTTCGAGGCCAGCCTGGACTACCAAGTGAGTTCCAGGAAAGGCGCAAAGCTACACAGAGAAACCCTGTCTCGAAAAACCAAAAAAAAAAAAAAAAAAAAAAAAAAAAAAAAAAAAAAACCAAAACCCAAACCAAAATTGCAAGGAAAAGTAGCAAAATCTTAATAGCAAGGACCATGTTTGGATGGCTGAAGCATGAAAAATTTAAATGCTTTTAAAAGAAGTTTTAAAATATTTTTGTGCATTTTCCAAGTTTTGCTACAATGAATTTGTGTCAGTATTATAAAGAGATAAAACTATGAAGTTCCCCCAATTTACAGTAATTTCCCCCTAAGGAATCTTTCAAAATATCTTCAAAGAAATCAGTGGGGCTAGAAACCCTGTCTCAAAAAAACAAAAACAAAACAAAAAAAAATCAGTGGGGCTATCATTCCTGGATGTGAACTGAAAAGTGAAAATCGTTGGTTGTTCCCATTTCACTAAGCCATAATCTCAGTCATACAACATCCACTGTGAGAAGTGTTAAAACAGGACTGTTTTTTGTTGTTTTTGCTTCTTGGGGGGGGGGGGGCTGCCACCCAGCTCCCAAATAAATCACACCTGGAGGCTTATTCTTAATTATGAATGCCCAGACTTAGCTTGGTTTGTTTCTTGCCAGCTTTTTTTTCTCTTCAATTATCCCGTCACCCTTACACCTCTTGGCTTTCCCTACTCTCTTAATTCTGTAAATCTTATTCTTACTCCGGGGCTTGCGGTGTAGCCGGGTGGTGGCTGGCCCTTAATGGCCTCCTCTTTCTCCAGCTCCTTCTTTTTCTTTTCCTCCCAGATTTCTCCTTATCCTCTCTGCCTGCCAGCCCCGCCTATTTCTCTCTCCTGTCTCACTATCGGTCGTTCAGTTCTTTATTAGACCATCAGGTGTTTTAGACAGGCACAGTACACAGCTTCAGAGTTAAAAAATGCAACATAAACAAAACTAACACACCTTATAACACTCTACAACAGGTTTTGGAGTCAAGGTGATGGGCACACCACCTGGTTTCCAGTGTTGGTATCATGGTATCACTGCTGGGTGTCCCCACCCCATTTTCATTTGCTTTACCTAGACTGAACCACACACGTTTGATGGAGCCGTTAAGGAGTTATAGGTAAGGGCAAGTTTCTGGCTCTCAGAGTCTGGTTTACTTCCTGGGTAAGCCATTTCGTGCATCTCTGTCACCTGTTCTGCACTGCCAACGGTAGCTGGGATGAAGTGAACAGACCTAAAGTGTTTATATGATAAAAAGCACCAGGACGAAGGAGT